GGAAGGCCCCGGGGAGACCCTCATCGCTGGCCCCTTGCTCTCAAAGGGAGCGTGGACTTTGGCCCAGAAGTCACATCCTCGGACAAGAGCCTGAAGGTGCTGCTCAACGCCGAGGACAAGGTGCGGGTGCGGGTGCGGCAGTGGGTCTCCCCGGCTCTGCTCCCACACGGCGGGGGCACCGCCCTGGAGCGGCGGGGGCGGGGGGCTGAGTCCACAGGACAAAGGGACCCCCACCAGTTAAGAGCGTGCCCCAGGCCCTGGCCAGTTTGGCTCAGTGGATAGAGTGTCGGCCTGCGGAATGCAGGGTCTCGGGTTTGATTCTGGTCAAGGGCACCTGCCTCAGTTGCAGGCTTGATCCCTGACCTGCGGGAGGGGTAGGGCAGTGGTCAGCAAACTGCGGCCCCTTGAGTGTGACTCTTCCACAAAATACAGTGGGGCCTTGACTTACGAGTGTCCCGACTAACGAGTTTTTTGAGATACCAGCTGTCTCTTGGCCGAGTTTTTGCATTGAGTTGATAGAGTAATTTGAGGTAACGAGCTCGGTCTCAGAACGAATTAAACTCGTAAGTCAAGGCCCCACTGTACCACGTGCGGACGCTCACATACAGTGAGATTGAAACTTCGTGGCCACATTCACGGGGCCAAAGAGCCGCATGTGGCTCTCGAGCCGCAGTCTGCCAACCACTGGGTTAGGGCATCTCTCACACATCGATGTTTCTCTGTCTGTCTCTCCTCCTTCCTTTCACTCTCCCTAAAATTCAATGGAAAAAATACCCCCGAGAGAGGATTAACAAAAAATTAAATTCATTCATTCATTCATTCATTCATTCAAAAGATACCTTAAAAAAAAAATAAGTGGGTGCCCCAGGGCACATAGCAGGCATTGACACGTACTGCCTGCTGCCGGCTCTCCTCTCCTCTCCTCTCACTCTTGCTGGAACCGGTGAGCACCCTTCCTGTGCTGCCGCGACCTTGACGGGAAGGAAGGACCAGGCCCAGTCTGTACAGAGTCCTTCCGTCCTGTTCCCCTCCCAGGTGTTTCATGAGATTCGGAACGAGCACTTCTCCAACGTCTTCGGCTTCCTGAGCCAGAAGGCCCGGAACCTGCAGGCCCAGTACGACGTGAGGCTCCGAGCCCGCCCGCGGTTCTGCTTCCTCCGGGCTTCCCAAGGCTGCTGCCCCTCGGCCAGCCCTCTGATGCTACACAGGGTCCCAGGCTTTCTTCCCGGGCCGGTGGGGGCCGAGGGAGGGTCATGGTGACCTTGGGAGGCCGGTGGTGACCTTGGACCTGCCCGCAGCGCCGCCGAGGCATGGACATCAAGCAGATGAAGAACTTCGTGTCTCAGGAGCTGAAGGGCCTGAAGCAGGAGCACCGCCTGCTGAGTCTGCGTAGGTTTCGGCTGGGGGCTGGGGGCTGGGGCGGGGGAGGGGGATGTGACGGGACATCTGCCTCCGGAGAGGAGATCCCTGTTCACCCCCCAGATGATGCTCGTTTGGTCTAAAGCCGGGGTGGGAAACGTCCGGCCCGCGGGCCGTATAAGGCCTGTGAAATCATTTGGTCTGGCCCTGCTCAGGCATTAGGGATGAGTTAGTTAAATGTTTGACCAAATAGAGCAGGCTAATTTTTAAAAAAATATTGATTTTAGAGAGGAAGGGAGAAGGAGAGAGATAGAAACATCTATGATGAGAGAGAATCATGGATCAGCTGCCTCCTGGATGCCCCCTACTGGGGATCGAGCCCACAGCCCGGGCACGTGCCCTTGACCAAAATTGAACCTGGGACCCTTCAGTCCACAGGCTGATGCTCTATCCACTGAGCCAAACTAGTCAGGGCGAGCAGGCTAATTTTTAAGTTGATAATTTTGTATGGCCTGCACATGATGTTATAAATATCCAGATGGGCCCTGGCTGGTGTTGCTCAGTGGATAGAGCATGGCCTGCGGACTGAAGGGGTCTGGGGTCGGTTCTGGTCAAGGGCATATGCCTGGGTTGGGGGCTCAATCCCCAGTAGGGAACGTGCAGGATGTTTCTATCTCTCTCTCCCTCTCCCTTCCTCTCTGAAATCAATAAAAATATATTTAAAAATAAATAAAAATAAATATCCAAATTGCTCTTGGCAGAAAAACGGTTCCCCACCCCTGGTCTAAAGTGAGGAGAAGTGCTTCTGCCTTGAGGTCTTTGTCCTCCCGGACAATAGAGGGATGTCCTTCTGGAACCAGGAATATCAGGTAGCTTTATCCTCTCTGCAGACATCGGGGCCTGTGAGTCCATCATGAAGAAGAAGACCAAGCAGGACTTCCAGGAGCTGATCAAGACCGAGCATGGTGACTACCGGCCGGCCGGCTCCCAGCCCCGCCCCCCTGGGGAGCTGTGCTCTGGAGACGACTGGGGGCCCCTTATCCCGGATGGAGAAGGAGATGGGGAGACAGACGCCCGTTAGCCTAGACGGCAGCCACCGCGCTGCTCCCGGTAACAGGCTGTCCTCTGGTTACTCGCAGCGCTGCTGGAGGGCTTCAGCATCCGGGACAGCACCAGCTACATCGAGGAGCACATCGACCGGCAGGTGGGCAGCTGCTGGCCAGCGGGCAGGGCGGTGCTTGCGTGGGGCCGGCCTACGGGAGGAAGGGGAGGGGAGAGCGTGCGTTAAGAAACTTGAACCTCCGTGGCTCTTCCTTCCTGTGCAGGTGTCGCCCATAGAAAGCCTTCGCCTCATGTGCCTCTTGTCCATCACCGAGAATGGTGAGCCCCCAGCACCGAGATGCCTGGTCAAAACTGCACCATAGGGCCAGAACCGGTTTGGCTCAGTGGGTAGAGCGTCAGCCTGTGGACTCAAGGGTCCCGGGTTCGGTTCCGGTCAAGGGCATGTACCTTGGTTGCGGGCACATCCCCAGTGGGGGCGTGCAGGAGGCAGCTGATCGATGTTTCTCTCTCATCGATGTTTCTAACTCTCTATCCCTCTCCCTTCCTCTCTGTAGGAAATCAATAAAACATATTTAAAAAAAAAACAAAAAACTGTACCATAGGATAGAAATCATCGTGAGCGACAGCAGTAAATGTCCTAGTGGACAGGACACTTCCCTGTAATTTTGAAGGATTAAATTTTTTAATATAGTTTTTATTGATTTCAGAGAGGAAAGGAAAAGGGAGAGAGAGATAGAAACGTCAATGATGAGATAGAATCATTGATCAGCTGCTTCCTGGACACCTCCTACTGGGGATCAAGCCACAACCCAGGCATGTGCCCTTGGCTGGATTCGAACCCAGGACCCTTCAGTCTGCAGGCCAATGCTCTAGCCATTGAGCTAAACCAGCTAAGGTTCCCTGTAATTTTGTGGATTCTTTCCTCTGTAGAATTAAAGCAGTTTTCCTTTTGAGTGAACATCCCCAGGTCATAGGGTAAATTAGTGTCTCCACACCAAGCAGGACTACATCCAGACTCCCCCTCCTCCCCCCAAACAAGGGCTGTCACATCTTAGGATCACAAAGGCGTAGAGCAGAGTGGCACTTCTCTTTGCTGCAGCAGGCCTCCTATCCTCAACAAGGTTTCATAACAAAGATGCAGGCCAGCCGGTGAGTGTGGCTCAGTGGTTGAGCATCCACCTATGACCCAGAGGTCACAGTTCAATTCGCGGTCAGGGCACATACCCGGGTTGCGGGTTTGATCCCCAGTGTGGGACGTGCGGGAGGCAGCTGATCGATGATTCTTTCTCATCATTAATGTTTCTATCCCTGTCTCCCTCTCCCTTTTCTGAAATCAATAAAAATATCCTATATAATAAAAGGTTAATATGCAAATTGTCCCCTTGGGAGTTCGAGCAGGAGACGAGGAGTTTGATCTCTCCCTGTGATGTGTGCTGACCACCAGGGTGCAGCACGAAACATGGCGGGCAACCAGCGGCATCAGCTGGGTGCTGAGGGAGCGAGGGGAGGAGGAGGCAAGGAGACCCGGAAGCGGCGAACCTGATCGACCCTGATCACCAGCCAGGCCTAGGGACCCTACCCATGCACAAATTTCGTGCACCAGGCCTCTAGTATTAAATTTTTTAAAAAGACGCAATCCAGGAAGAAGGGACAGCCACCAATTCCATAAACATTTCCCAAAGCCCGACTCTGCAACCTTTAATGGCAGCTTGTTTTTCCTGTTGAAGGCTTCCAACTGGTGAATATTCCTGAAGAGAGCTCTCTCCCCAGAGAAGGGCTTGCTGATTCTGAGGCCCCTTTATTGCGTGTGGAAGCCCATTTTTCCTTATCTCAGTGGAGAACACATGGATGACTGGCCTTGGAACCACGTGACCCCTTCCTGCTCCTCAGCATCTGTAGGAGGGGCCCCTACTACCGGCCCAGAGCCAGGAAGAGATGCCCGGAAGTCCCGCCTCCTCCTCCTGCTGCCTCCCACCTCATGCCTACCACAGTTAGCGTTCATTTCAGTGTCCCTTCCCAGCCCCCCCGTGGCTCGGGGTGCCTCCTTGCCTCTCCGATCCAGGCTTTATCTTCCAGTGAGCAAGCTTACATCGAAGAGTCAGTTTAGAATCATCTGTGGAGGGTGCAAGGTTATCATTTACTGAATCATTCCTCCTGATTCAGGCTTTCTTGGGGGAAGAGGGTTGGTTGGTTGGTTGGTTGGTTGGTTGGTTTGGCTGTATGTTTTAGGACACCCTAACTGGCTCACGAACCTTTCTTGTCTTCCCTTATCCTCAGGTTTGATCCCCAAGGATTACCGATCCCTGAAAACACAGTATCTACAGGTAAGGCCAGAAGAATGTCTTTTTAAACGTGTTGATTTTAGCAAGAGAGGAGTGGGGGAGCAGGTGGGGAGAGAAAGACAGAGAAACATCGATTTGTTGTTTCGCTTATTTATGCACCTGCTGGTTGCTTCTTGTATGTGTCCTGAGTGGGATTGAACCCACAACCTTGATGTATTGGGATGACATTAACCAATAGCTACCCCGCCAGGGCTTCAAAAGAATGTGTTTGTGAGGGAACTTTATGGAGGGGGCTCATTGGACATTTTTTAAAATATATTTTTATTGATTTCAGAGAGGAAGAGAGAGGAAGAGGGAGAGAGAGAAGGACAGATAGAAACATCAATGATGAGAGAGAATCATTGATCGGCTGCCACCTGCTACTGGGAATTGAGCCTGCAACCCAGGCATGTGCCCTTGACCGGAATCAAACCTGGGACCTTTCAGTCTGCAGGCTGACGATCTAACCACTGAGCAAACCCAGCTAGGGCTCATTAGACATTTTTTTAAAAATATATTTTATTGATTCCCTTCTTCTGCTTTTTCTGAAAAGCAACCAAGTTTGTTGCTCTGTTTAAAAGAAAGTAAAAGTTTTTAAAAGAAACTCCTTAAATGTGGCTTAGAAATTACTCTGGGAGAATAAAAACAGAAGGAGGTTCCCTTCAAATATCTAGGAATTATGATTAAAAATCAATTTATTAGGCCTCAAAGGGTAGAAAAATATATTTTATTGATTTTGTTTCTCACGGTGCTGGCCGGTGCCAGGAACACCGAACAGTTCAGCTATTGGACCCGGGGCTGAGTTCTCGCCCCCGCTCTCCCTCACTTTAGCCCCTTGTGAGGCATTGACAAGCTTCCTTCCAGGTCTTTCTGTCACGTCGTATCTCATCTGTGAAGCCTCCCCCACCATCCCCTATCAGTAGCTTTCTCTGGGCTTTAAGAGTTTCATGTTGCTTTTCTTCTGGGTTTGGTGTTTGGTTCTTTCTGATAAGAAAACCTTTCACACGAACACGTATGAGCTCCTTAAGGCGTAGACTGTGCAACCCTCCCATCCCTCGCCCCCCTCACCTCCCTCTCCTCTCTCACCTCCCTCTCCTCCCTCGCCTCCATGCCACCAACCAGTGCTAGACCCCTGCTGGGCGCTCAGTAAAGACTCGCCTGCCTTTCCTGCAGAGCTATGGCCCCGAGCACCTGCTGACCTTCTCCAACCTGCGGCGCGCGGGGCTCCTGACGGAGCAGGCCCCCGGGGACACCCTCACCGCTGTGGAGAGCAAAGTGAGCAAGCTGGTGACAGACAAGGCCGCAGGTGAGCTCGGAGCACAGGGAGCCCCGACCCTCCTCTCTCTGCACAGGCAGCACTGGGAGAGAGATGAGCAGGAAGCACAGTGCGATTCCTACTGTTACTGTCATTACCGCCACTTCCGCTAGGGGGAGCGGTTCCCGGTGATTGGACACTCACCACGTGCTAAGCCCTGTAGATACGGTTTCTCATTTAGTCCTCACAAAGGTTAGTTTTATCTCCATTTTACAGATGAGGAAACCGAGGTTGAGAGGATAAGTGACTTGTCTAAGTTCCCTCAAATAGTAAGTCACATTGGACCCCAGGTCACTGTGACCCCACAGCCTGTACACTTACGTTTGCCCTGTAGGTGGCAGTAGTAGAGGAGGAAGAGGGGTGGGGGGAGGGTGGTGAACGCCTCATCAGGTCCAGGGAATTATGGGTGAACAGCTGAGAGCTGTCCCCCCTCGCCTCTCTCTCCTCCCTTGCCTCCATGCCACCAAACTGTGCTAGACCCCTGCTGGGCGCTCAGTAAAGAC